CCATATACAATTTCATTATCAGTTACTATATTGAGATTTTAACCTTATGAATTAATATCTAATAGAATATTATTTAATATATTTGAAGTAATTATCACATTTGGATATTCAAAACCAAAATCTACATCTGCTACTGGTACAAATTGTCCAAAAAGATCAATAATTTCTTGTGGTATTTTTGGTGATATAACTAATCCTCCATCATAATTAGTTTTCTCAATTCTTCTTTTTCAAATCATAGATATTAACATATCTTTTTTAGCACAATAATGTCCATATAAATTATTTACCAAACATTTTACACCATTTGTAAATACATTTAATATATTTATACATGTGTATTTAGCAAATTAAATATAGTTACCTATTATATTTCTCTTTAATAATAATTTATAACAACCTAATGTATCAACTGAACAATAATATATAAACTTACATGCATATTCTTCTAATGTACTAGGATTAACTTGCATCTTTTCTAATATTTTTTTATGTTCAATTTTACATAATTTTGATAATTTTAATAATAAATCATTAATTGTTGTAATATCATATCGATACTTGATTGCTGTTATGTAAATGAACATGCAATTTAAATCTTTTGTTTCTTCATCTGGAATATATGATAGATCAATTATTCCTAGTAATCCACATTGAATTAAAATATCATCAAGTTTATTACTGATTGCAGTTGGAAATGTTTTTTGTGCCCATATCAATAAGTCTAAAAATATTGTTCAAGATAAATAAAAATATTCACATATTCTATTTTCTATTAGATTTACTTTTATTTGTCTATTATTAAGATTAATTCTTGCAAATTCATATTTTTGCATTTTTTCTTCAATATCTTTATTAACAACTCATACTGTTGTTTCTTGAACATAATATTTTATTGAAGATTTTTTTATTTAATAAAATTATCAATAAATTGTTTATCAATTCTCAATATGATTGATTTTCAAAGTGCAAAATCCAATCATATCCTCCAGTATTATATCCAATTTCAAAATCTGGTTGTAAATATCCAAATAATTCTGCAAATTTTAATAATAAATCTTTTTGATCTGTTGTATTAATAAATTCTATATTATCAATATTATAAGATTTTTTAAATAATTTATTATTTATTATCAAT